TGACCTCTACCCTGCTCGGCGCACGGGCAACGGCGACGGCACCGCTGGCGGTATCGGCCTCCTGGTCAGGCCGCACGTCGCCTTCAGACGCCTGCAGTTCGACCATGACGGCACCCATGCGGCTGGTACGGCTCGTCAGGGTTTCTGGACCACCGACCTGGGGCCTAAGGAGGGGCTGGTGCTGGCGGGCCTCTACCTGCACACCAGCAAGGACCTGGAGGACGTGAACCTCGACATCCTCTTCCAGATCGGCAGCGTATTGCACGCCGCAGGCAGGCCATACGTCCTGGGCGGCGACTGGCAGAACCTGCCCGAGTCCCTCAACTGCCTCCGTTGGCCCAAGGCGGTGAAGGGCGAGGTGGTCGCGCCCGACCAGGCCACGTGCTACACGGCCACGAGCGCCAGGGTCATCGACTACTTCCTCGTGCGGCACGACCTGCATGGGTGCCGTGCTCGCACCTTCGACGGCCTCTCGGTCACGCCGCACAAGGGCGTCATACTCGAGCTGGACGTGTCGCAGATCCCGCTCATGGTGCGCAAGGCCCACATGGCCAAGGCCTTCCCTTCGAGCCAACTGGTAGGCCCCCAGCTTCCAGGACCTGACTGGCAGGCGGCAAGCGAGGCGGCTGCTGCAGCCCACGACCGCGACAGCCTGGACGGGGCCTTCAGCGCGTGGTTGCGGCGCTACGAGGACGAGCTGCTCCAGCACTTCGGCTGCGAGCAGCCTGAGCGGTACCGTGGCAGGTCCGACGGCGTTCGTCTGGTGCACTCGACCCTGCAGATGCACTGCCGCAACCAAGCGAAAGGACGTGGAGCAGCTGACCCCAGCGAGGGCCACTGGCAATGGCTTGCCCAGAGGCTTCGTGAGTGGCGCTGGCGACGTGCCGCGGTGTGCCGCCACCCCAGCGCCGAAGGACAGCTACGCCTTCGTCGGCTGCAGCTGCGGCTTATGCGGTTCACCTTGCCGCAGCCCACGCGCTGGCCCGACATGTGGGAGGCATGGCGGTCCCTCGTCCGACGACTCGATCAGTTGGGCGAAGAAGACCTCGACCACCTGATGCACGACCTGGAGAAGTGCGCCGAGCGCGCTGCTGGCCAGGCCTCCTACCGCAGGTACAAGGCATGGGTGGACTGGTCCCATGACGCCACCGCTGATGGCGGCATGCGGCGCGCCTTCAAGTGGATCAAGCAGGATGCCCCCTGGGCGTGCACCAATGCAGCGGCTGGACCTGGCATTGCCAAGTCTCTCGTGGATGAGGCACGTGACGCTGTTCAACCATGGCACGACCTATGGGGCCAAGGCGAAGGCATCACAGCCGTTCGCTGGCCCACGGACGTCGGGGACATCGAGCTCCCGTCGATCGAGGACTTGCGGAAGACAGCACACACCTTCAAGTCGGACACAGGGCTGGGCTGTGACGTGGTCCACCCTCGACATCTGATTTTTCTAAGCGATGATGCGCTACAGACCTTGTTGGAACTCTGGTCTCAGATGCTGCGTCTTGGCTACGTCCCGGCCCCGATTCGTGTCATGCGCGAGGCTCTCCTTCCGAAGCCCGATGGGGGGAGACGCACAATTGGCATCTTCCCTGGCACGGTGCGGCCACTGACGCGATACTTGCGGGCCACCACGGGCGCGAAGTGGGCCGACAAGAACAAGCGCAGCTACATCTTCGGCACCGAAGGTCAGAGCTGTGAGGCCTGTGTATGGAGGCAGGCGGCTGCTGGCGAGTGGGCTACACACAGTGGTAAGACCTGCCTTTCCATCTTGCTGGACCTCTCCAAGGCTTATGAGTACATCCGCTGGAACCGTCTGGCGACCTGTGCTACCGACCTGGGCTTCAACATGTGCTTGCTACGGCTACTGCTCATGCTGTACTCCATGCCCAGGCTGCTATCCTTCGAAGGCATCGTATTCGAGCTGATGACGCCGATGCGTGGCGTGGTAGCAGGATGCTCATTCGCTGACCTGATGATGCGAATTTTTCTTATTCCCATTTTGGATGACCTGGTGAGCCTGCCTGGCATCTCTGTCGGCAACGTGGTCGATGACATCCAGATGCAGGCTACAGGCACTCGGACCACCGTCGTGCAGCAGCTCAGCAAGGCTTACCGCCAGGCGAGGAGTGCACTCCACGACGCCGAGCTGCTGCTGAACGAGAAGAAGGGCAAGCTCATCGGCAATGACTACCAGGCCAGCGTGGACCTCGGCAAGCGCTGCCCGTCGCTCGTGCAGGCCAGCGACCTGTCGACCCGCAACCTGGGCTGCGACTACAGCTGCGGCAAGCGGCAGGGCATGCGCACGCGGCTGGGGCGCCTGGGCAAGGTCAGAAGGCGCTGTGAAAAAAATCCGAGCACTTCGCAGGGCCAGGGGAAAGTGCAAACAGCTGGTCAGCATGGGGCTGGTCCCTGCTGGGACCTGGGGCGACGGAGTCACTGGAAGGTCGTGGAGCGGAGTGATGGCCCTCAGGAGGGCTGCGAGGGCGGCCCTGTTCCCTCACACGGCCCGCAGATCCCTCACCATAGACCTGGCTCTGGTTCCTGGAGACACCGCGTCCATCGACCCCGCGTACCCTTGCACGGTGAACCCCATTGTCATGCTCGCCCAAGCCTTCTGGGACGCATGGATGCCTCGGGAGATTTTGTGCCGTATGCTATTCAACGCGGACAAGGCCCTCAGAGGGGCCAAGACACCCTGGAGCCAGGTCACGGGTCCTGTTTCGGCTGCGCTGGCTTCTTGTTTCAGGATCGGTTGGACTCTTGGAACGGGTGTGGGCAAGTTGTGTACTGCCGACGGTGAAGTGCTTGATCTATGTCGTGAGTGCCCCCGCACAGTGAGGATGGTTGCGCAGTGGGGTGTCGAGGCTTGGCTCCTTGACAAGGCCCGCTGTGAAGAAAGCTACCTTAGTACCCTCTCCCACGGACCCTACCTCGCCCCTTTGAAGGCCCTGGTGTCTAGCCGTACTGATGACGACTGGACTGGCATGCACAAGGCTACGCTCCGATGTCTTGCGGCCAACGGGTTCTGGGGGGATGAGCGGCTGCACAGTGTCGGCCTGAGGGATAGCCCAATGTGCTCGCTCTGTGGTGAGGCTCCTGGGACCGTGGGGCACTGGTGTTGGGGGGACTGTGCGTGCACTTGGGCTTTCCGTCGCGACTACCTAGTGCCACCTTCATTGCGAGAGGGTGCATTAAATCACCCCGACTGGCCCCTCTGGAGCCACGGCCTCGTGGCTGACCCTCGGCCCTGGCTTCCTCGTCCCACGATGGACCTGCTCGTTCACTGGCGCGTGCGACCCCCGTCGGGGGCCTTTGAAGGCCCATGTTTTGGAGACGGCTCGTGCCGTTCGCTTGTGGCCTCTGACCCCAGACTTCGCCGTGCTGGCTGGGGAGTTGTCCAGGTGAATTCGAGCGGTCTGGATGTCTTGGCCTCGCTGTGCGGCCCCCTCCCAGGTTTAAACCAGAGCCCTGAGGTTGCCGAACTCTTTGCTCTCAAGATGTATCTTGATAATGTAATGTTTGGCCCCTATGAGTACCTCTCTGACTGTGATTGGGTGGTCTCCAGCTTCCGTAAGGGACGTTGTGAGACCACTGGTGCGTTGCACGCCTGTGCCGACTTATGGGAGGGGGTTTGGGACCGTGTGTCGGACTTGGGGGGGGAGGTCGTTGTGATTAAGGTCAAGGGTCACGCGCGTGTGCGCGATGATGACCTTGACGATGGTGCTCGATGGAGGCGCCTAGGCAATAAGGCTGCTGATGAGACGGCGCGCGCTGGAACCGCCATGCACCCCTCTGATCAGGAGGCCGAGGATCGAGTGATCCGTTCCCATCGGCTGGTCCAGTATGTAGGTAAGTACTTGGCCAGGACCATCCGTGGGGCTGGGCCAAGTCTGGCCTCCGCCTCCCGTCGCGAGGTGGGGCTGCGGAGGGGGCGCCGAATCGTCCCTCGGCTCTCGGATGATGCTGCGCCTCCCGAGGGCACTCATGACCCCGTCTGGTTTCCCAAGGGTGGCTTCAGGTGCATCAGGTGCCTGAGATCGGGGAGCACGATCCAGATTTTGAAGGCCACCCCCTGCAGACCTGGAGCTGGCCACCGCGTTTGGACGGTGGGCCCTTTTGTGTTCTGCAGTGTATGCGGTGCTTATAGTGAGCACAACACCCAGAAGCTCGGTCAAGATTGCCACGGAAGCTGCCCGCGTGGGTCTGTGGCGTGGGACCGCCTGCGTAAGCTGTGGCGTGGTCGCCACCCCCGCAGCGGGATCGAGCTTCGGGCCTCGGGAGTCGGACCCCGCCCCACCCCCTTTGGCGCATTCGCCCTCGACCACAAATTTAAGGGCCTGGTGGTCCTTCCTCGTTCCGAGGAGGAGGATGATGCTTGAGGCTGGTTGGTCCTGGGTCCGCTCCCGTTTTTGAACTTTTGTGTTTTTCCTGACGGAGGCACTCGCCCCCCCTTCTTGCTCCTCCTCACCCCGCCTGGGAGGTGCCCGTCAGCCCAATGTTCGCGCCCTAAGCGCGAGGCCGCTGGCTGCTAGTCTCGACTGCACCCCTTGGCCCCACCAGCACAAAATCCCTGTAGGTCCCGAGAAGCTCCAGAAGGTCCCTGGAGGCCCCCAAGGGCCGAGAGAGGGGACCAGAGAGCCTTCAAGGACTTCGACCGTCGATCCTCCCCGATCCTCGACGAGGACATCTGCTGCTCGCGCTCTCCCTCCGACGGCGGCGACGGCGACGACCACGGCGGCGACGACGACGACCACGGCGACGACGACGACGACGACGACGACGACCACGACGACGACGACGACGACGACGGCCACGACCACGACCATGGCCACGACTACGACCACGACGACCACGACCACGACCATAGCCACGACCACGACGACGACCACGACCACGACCACGACCACGACCGCGACCGCGACCACGACGACCGCGACGACCACGACGACCACGACGACAACGACGACGACGGTGAGAGCGACGGCGGCGGCGTCGACGAGGACGAGTGCTGCTCGCGCTGGCCCTCCTCGGCTCCTCGGCGCCGGTCCCGCTGTGCTCCCTGGCGCCCTTGCCGCTGGCGGCCCCAGCCGCCCGCCGTGGCGCGGCGTGCGCCAGGTGGCGGCGGCGGCCCACAGCGGCTAGGCGCGCGCTCGCGTCGGCGTCGGTGTCGGCGTCGGCGTCGGCGTCGTCGTCGTCGTCGTGGTCGTCGTCGTAGTCGTCGTCGTCGTCGTAGTCGTCGTCGTGGCCGTCGTCGCCGTGGCCGCTACCGTTACCCTTGCCTCCTGTTCGCCTTTTCGGGCTTCCTGGGACGCCCTCGTCGCCACCGTTGGATTCGTTTCAAAATCGCGGTCAGAAAGCACCCCACGAGAGATCCGGGAAGCAGAGGTAACGGTATCTGTTGGTTTCCCTAGTTGTCTGCGGTGTTGTCGACTTGCTCAGGCGCCGCGCTCTCGTTGCTCCGGGAACATGTTCTGGCTTGGGACTTCCTCGCGAATTAGTCTAGAATCGCGCGCTCGCCACTCAGGAATTGCATTCTGGCCCAGCGCCCAGCTTCCATACTGATTACTTTGGAATCACGCTCGCTCTCGCACGATGCCGACCCAAGATTTACACAGGAATCACACTTTCATGTCCCTACCGCCCGGCGAGCCTGATAGGGTCCGCCCGCCTGGCCCGTCCGTGAAGGACCGTCCGACCCACCTGTTAGGGTTCGCCCGACCCGCCCGGCAGGGTCCGCCCGTCCGGCCTCGACCCGCCCGCCTGAAGGTCCCGCCCGCTCAACCCGCCCGGTAGGGTTCGTCGCCCCCCTTGCTTGGAAACCCGACGGCCCGCCCGCATGTCCCGCCCGCCCGGCTGTACTGCCCTGTACTCCGCGGAAGAGCTCGTCGTCAAACTTCCGGAACAACCAAGAGCACTACTCAGGAGGCCCAACCGCTTTGAGCCGACGAACCGCCTTGGGCTACCAAGCCCTACTGCGCAGGCAGTCCAAGGCCATGGCGCGAGAGGAGCTGGGCAGGGTGCCACCGCTCCCCCCACAGGCCATCAAGCACAGGAAAAGCAGGCCTCCCGCGTGACTTGCACCCCTTTTCCGTGCCGCGCGCACCAGGGAGACCGGGTCCGAAGGAGAGGGCGAGCACTGGCCAGAAAGTGCCCAGCCTCTGTACTGCCGCGCCCAGCTGGGGAAACTTCCCTTCAGGAGCCTGGACCGCTGCTGCCGGACCCGCTTGTCTTACCCTGTCGGGGTTTTGCCAAAGATTATGATGTTCCGACCTAATTTAGCCTTGACCACCAGAAATAAGTTCGAAACTTCTATGGGTGCTCGAAATAATTTCTGAGATGTGGTCCTGAAGTGCGATGAGACCGACATAAACCAAGGGGAGGTTGGACGAAGCGGGGTAAAAGCACGAAGCAGGGATGCGTTCATAAACGAGGTGGGTGGGAGTCGACGGTTTGGGGTACACATGTGGACCGACACGCGAGCAACGAAGGGCGAACGTTAGCCCTAAAATGATTTTTGATGCTGTTGCTGCGTCGTTGGCGTCGGCGTCGACGTCGCCGTCGTCGTGGGAAGAGGGGCAGGAGGGGGGAGGAGAATGAGTAGAGTGGGGGGGGGAGGGGAGCAAGGGGGATGGCGGATGAAGAGGAGGCTGAGGGGCAGGGTGAGTGGGGGAGACGCAGGAGGAGCAGGAGCACGTGCTGCAGCGGGAGAGGAAAGAGCAGGACGGAGGGGAGGAGGGAGGGTGTACGGAGGGAAGAAGAGAAGGAGGCAGTGAGGAGAACGAGGCGGAGGAAGACGACAATGATGAAGCAGACCCGCAGCAGCAGGATCAGGAGTTGGAGCGCTAGCAGGGTCGGGAGGAGTAGTGATGCCCCCCCTTCGGTAGCAATCCACGTGCCAAGTAAGGACGTGGAGGAGGAGGAGGAGGAGGAGGAGAAGGAGGAGGAGGAGGAGGAGGAGGAGGAGGAGGAGGCCCTGGGTTGTGATGGTGAGCAGGTGCTGTTGTCCACCTGTGCTGTCACGAGGGCGCGCTTCCCGCGGCGACGCAGCTGCGCTGGTCGTCAAGAAGCCTCTCCTCTTTCGGTTTGGCCCAGCGCCTCTCCGTGCGCTTTCGGGAGGCCGGACCAGCGTCCCAGGCCCCACTGCATGCACCAGGCCGCACGCGCGAGTGTGGCTGGCTCGGCGCGTGCTCGCCATCTCTTGCTCGAACGAGAGGCCGGGGCCTGTCAGTCCCGACCATTGTCCTCCTCGTCCTCCTCCTCCTGCCCCTCCTCCTCCTCCTCCGTAGCCATTTTGGCTCAAGTTGTTTGTGTCCCCTGGGCCAGAATTGAACACCTCTAGTCCGAGGCTAGCTCCCGTATCAGGCAACCCCAGTCGAGCTGCGCGTTGTTGGGGCCAAGAGTCTGTCTCCCCCCCCGCGAAGGCTCTAGCCTTCCTACTGGGCCCAGCGGCCACGACACCATTCCATAGCTTCCCGTCTTCACTCTCACGACGACCTTCCCCTGTCGGTACCCGCACAGCCACAGTGGCATTTGGTGGCAGCAGCGCGGAGGTACTTGGCAGTGCAGTGGTCGTCGGATCCCATTTCCAATTCTGAAAGTAGCGATTCTAGTGATTTTCGAGAGACTGACCGCAGCCGCAGCGACATCCTCGACGGCCGTCGAAACAAGCATCATGACCCCCCCATTTGGCGGTCAGGACGTGCGCACCGACATGACCGAGACCGCGATCGGGACCGAGACCGAGGTGAGCGTGCACGCCAAGGTGCTGATGCACGTGCCGGTCGACCACGCAGTGATGCTCGCGTCGGCCGTGATGGCTCCCGACTTCGATCTGGCCGCGCTGGCGCTCGCTCCTCTGGCCGCCGTGAACCAGAGGCAAGTGCCGAGCGTAGAGCCGGAGATGCCACAGCAGTTCTTGCTGCTCTGTCGCCGTCTGCGGCCGAGCAGCTGGCAGCGGACATGGAGGCGGTTCCAACACTCCTGAAGCTGAAGTGCATGTGCATCCTGGGCATCATGGTGGTGCTGGCTTCGCTGCTGCAGCGCAGTACGGCGGCACCGCGACGCCTGTCGCTGCTGGCAGCAGCGCTGACCCGATGCAGGAGAGTGACCCGCGGCGTGGCACGCAGGGTTCAGGTGGACTCGAGCAGCGAATTCGAGATGCTGCGCGGGTGGACATTGATGCGATTCGAGCTGCGGCGGCTGCGGCGGCTGCGAGTGCGGCTGCTGGCGCTGCTGCGGCTCAAATGGAGACCATCGCAGGCCAGCTGCGCACTTCGTTCCTTGTGGAGCAGGGGCGCACACAGGCGTCTGGATGCTCAAGCTCGTGAAGTGCAGACAATACGCCAGCGACAAGATCAGGCTGCTGCTGACCAGGCTGCCGCACGCGCTGAAGTGGCGGTCATCAAGCAGCAGCTTGCCATGTCCGAGGCGCAGCTACCGTTCGATGTCGGCAACTTGGCGATCTGGGACCGCGCCGTGGACCCACGCGATCCACGCGCGCCCTCGGCGGGCATCGTGGCGCCTGCGGCCCCGGATGATGCACGCGATGCTCTCGCTCCTTGGATTGCGGGTGCTAGGCTTCAGCCTGCACAGTGGGAGCTCGTCGGCGACGTCGCGGCAAGGCGTTTCACCGCGGGGGCGCTGGGCAGCAAGACCGAGGCCAGCTCCCGCGCCACAGCGCTGGTCAAGAACTTGCGCACCTCAGCAGGCTGGCGTACCCTTCAAGTTGCTCCTACTGAGGGGGCCGTCGTCGCCACGCACGCGTCCACGGACAAGAGCCCCAAGACGGCGCGGGGCGAGGCGCAAGCGAAGAAGACGTCTAAATTGTTGGAGGAAAGCACCCGCCCCTCTCATGGAGGCGCAGGCGGGCGCAGTACCAGGTCCCGGTCAACAGCGCGCCGCGCTGCCAGCTCGAACCTTAGGGGCAGGCAGAACCGACGCGCGCCAGATGCAATCTCAATGCAACGACGCAGTTCAACCTCGACGCCGCCGCGATCGAGAAGGCCTTCAATGCAACCTCATCGGCAGCGGAAGCACAGTGGTCTGGGTAACATCGGCTGGGCCCCATGGGAGCTTTCTCGCCATGATTCGGATCGCGGCCTCAGGGTGATTTGCTGGAGCGCCAGCAGTCTGCTCTGCGTCGATTCAAAGTGGCGCGATGCGAAGACCCGTCTCTTGTCTGAATATATGCGACAGCGATTCCTCGTCGTCCTCCAAGAGGTCCGAGGGGGTGCTGGGCGCCTCCAGCGGCTGGTCGATGACACCCCTTACACGCACGAGTGCTTCATGTTTGGCACTGATGTCTCCGCAGGAGGCGCGGCTTTCCTCGTGCCGCGACACCCGCAACATCAGCCTGTGCCTGATGCTATGCAGAAGGCGGGCGTTTTGCACCCAATCGCACCTGGCCGCGCGGCCGCCCCGCGCATCTTCTAGCGCCCCCCCCCCGCCTTCGACGTGCATCCTCAACAACCATCAGCTTTCGGCCCTCGACGCGCACGAGATCGAGCGTTTCTGGCCGCAAAATGTCGAGCGCGCAGCACGACATCAGCGCGCATTTAAGTTTCTGGCCCTCAGTGATTTCAACATGCCCGAACCCCCTCCCCGCTCCTCTCGCCCCCCGCAGCAGGCTGCTGATGCTGATGCCGCCCCATCCCCCTTCTCTCCCTGCCATTGACGATCGGGTCCAACATGCGCAGGCACGCTGGCGCCGCACGTTCGCTTCAGGCACAGGGATCACTAATGATTTGTCCACCCGGTACGACTCGCATAGGCTTCGGGCCTCGTGCATCGACGGGTTTTTCGTCTCTGGCTGCCCGTCCCCCCTCGATGCTCGCGAACGTAACGTTGCAGATCGCACACGAGAGAACTCGCATGTCAGACAGCGGCCTGTCCGATCATGCTGCGCCCATGCTCGAGATCTCCCACTCTGCCCCGCGCTCGCAGCATGAACGTGTTATTCTCCCTGACTTGTTTCGCACTCCCGAGTTTCAGCGCATCTGTGACAGCGCGTTGTCTCGCACTGACGTTTCGCAATTTCACGCGGTAGCAGCGCGGGAGGGCACCAAATCTGTCATGCATGAAGCTGCCGCGCTCACACGTGATAAGCTCCAAGGCCCTGAGTACCTTCACACTGTGCATCCTGA